AGCCACTCACTGACTGCGTGTATTCATGTCTGTGCCGGGGACCTTTGCAGCGAAACCTTGTGACTTACCCTTGTATAAGCTGTGAGCTTTTAAATTTGTGACAAGGGATGGAGAAAAATGTTCTACTCATTGCAAGGAAACCCTCACTTAAGCATCAGTGGACCACAAGCACTTAAAACCCATGGACCTTCAGCTGGTCGTCCTTAGCCAGTCCGATCTCTACAAGGAACTGGCATTGTGCTTGCGCTGGTCGCCCTGGAGCTGAATCACTTCTCCATATTCTGGATGCTCAATCACAGTGCCATTGCAGGCAAATTTCTTCTTAAAGGCCTTCACCAGTTTCTTTTTGTCGTAGTCATCGGCGATCCCTTGGACAGTGGTAAGGGTCTTCCTGCCGTTGCGCTGTTGAATTCTTATATGGATATAATCCTTGGTCCCCGCGGGAAGCAGGTCATCGCCCTTACTGGCATCAGCAAAGGGGTCGAAAGACTGGAGGTTCTGGATAGCGGGCATATGATGCGATTCCTTTTCCTCGCGGACTGAGGAAGGCAGCGGCGGGAGGAGGCGGGCGGCCGGGAGGCGGCGAGTGCGAGGGTGCGGAGGAACGAGCGGCAACTGAGCAACAGGGCGCATGATCAATTTTTAAGACACAGTTTTGTTGTGTGAAGTTACTGGTAAATTACTATTCTCAAAAAAGGTAAAGAACTCACTCTTCTTCACATGCTTTTTAAAAGAAAGTTAGAGCTAAGTAAATTATTGCCAGTAGATATGACTATCAGAACACAGGAACTGAAATATTTAGTATGATTATTTCATTGAAAGTCCCACTTTGTCTTCTGTTTGTAGAGGAGAGGGCATGTACACAATCCCCAAAGTGTTTCTGAGACTTGTTTGCTATTCTCACCCTTTGGCAACAAGACACAATTGAGGATCCAAAGGTTACAAGCACAGTTACCAAATACATAGTCAGAAAACAATATTACAACTCGAATATCCAGAAAAAAGTGACTTTTAATTTCAGTTGGAATAATTTTCCTACTGGATTAGTAAATGCAATCATAGCAGTTTAATAAAATGATAATTCTTTGTCCTTGAGCTCTATCTTAATTCAGGGAAGGGTAGATATAAGAAGAGACCTCGTGGCACTGTGAGTTAGGTATTGGGCTGCTAACTGCCAGGCTGATAGTTCAAACCTACCAGCCACTGTAAGTGAGTGGGGTGGGTGAAAGATGAGGCTGTCCATTTCTGTAAAGATTTACAGTCTCAGAAACTCTCCAGAGGTTGCTGTGTGTCCGACTCAACTGGATGGTTTTGGATTTGGTTCAGGTAGAGGTAAATAAAGACAGACTAATACACTATGTTAGTTCAAGCTGATAAGAATCCATTCTGGGTCATCAGTCAAAATTTCAGAGATCACTTTTATTCTTGTTAAGCATTTTCTTAAGATTTTTTTTATTAGGACAGAATCTATTAAATGAAGCTGGCTACATGACTTTGCTCTTTCTGCTATTCTTAAAACCAGGCAGCACACCAAAACGTTAATAATGAGTGGTCGCAGCCTGTGTAATCCAAAAATGACAAACAAAACCCAAATATGAACAAGGGAATGGTACCAGAGCTTAAATTGTGAACACCTAATTTGGAGAAGGCTCTGGAGGACAGTGGGAGTTCCCAATTGATCTGCAGAGTGTCTAGTCAGATTAAGTTGCTTGGCAGATCCCCTCTAGCCACAGGCAAAGGAATTCCAATGGTTTTACGATCAGACAGTTGATTGCAAATCTGATTATAGTGGACTGAACCGTGGTATGATACTTGGTGTGATACTTGATCAGTTGATCTCCCTCTTGACTCAATCTGAATTTGCTCTAGGCTTAAATATTTCTCACTTGTTCCATAACAGAAATTTCTTTTATGGCTTTTAAACTGTTCTTGGTGGTCTTTTCTTTCTTACTCTTTATTTTTATCTTTACATTATTATTATTATCTTCTTTCTGTTTTTTAAATGTTAGAATCCGTAGTTTATGATGTGCAGAAGTAGTGGATGCCTAGAAAGAATAACTGATGTAATGGCTTGAGGTAGTTAGTATATTGTGCCAACCTGGCCAATAATCACATGTGGGGTTACTTGAAGGGCAGGGAGATAAATGGCTCAGTGAGCCTTGCCTTTCGAGTCTTCGGGTCTCTTGCTTTGTGATGCTCAGACCAGGGTGCAGTTGCCTTTGTAGTTCCCTGCTTCAGCTTGCAAGGCTCACTGCCTGCAAGACATCCCCAAGGAGAAGCCACATGGACCTACCCCAATGCAGCCCTGGGTGCTGGAGCACCGGTGTGGAGCCCCCTGCCAGCACTGAGATGCTTATACATTCACTGATTCAGCTCTCCTCTTGCCATCGGCGTCATTGTGTGTGTTTTGTGAGATGGAGGAGGATTTTGTGGATTGGTGTTGGACATATGGATTGTTGGTCCTGTGGGCTTGGGCAGCACTGGGTTGGGATGTTTTCTTGATGTGCATTTGACCTTTATATAAAACTCTTTCTTATACATGAGTTTCTGTGGATTTGTTTCTCTAAGGTACCCAGACTAACTAACTTATCGGGGATGGGGTGGGAGTCATATTGGGGATGGGAGGGGTGGAGAGGGTGAGGGGAGTTGGGGGGGCAAACAAAGAATGTGAGAGGGGGAGGGTGCACTAGAACTGATTGTGACAATGTATATACAACTCTTTTTAAAAATGACAACTATGGAAGTGTATGACATGTGAAGTTTATATCAGGAAAGCTGCTAAATGATTTATTAAGACAACAGCATATATTAAGTTTAGAAACACCGATTTGAATTTAAAGAAACCAGACAGAAAGATAAATATGCTCTACAACTGTGATTTAATTCATTTGAAACCCTAGGACAGATAAAAGGGATACTATCAAATGTCGACTTGGATTGGGGGTTAACTATACACAAAGTTGCCTGAAGCAAATATTTGTGGTAATGAAAATGTTCTAGACTTTTTGACTTGTTTGTTTGTTTCATGTACATGTCCTAAAACCCATCAAATTGTACACTTAATGTCTTTTTATTTTATGATATTAAATTATACTTCAAGAATGTTGATTAAAAATAAAAAGAGGAACAAAAATATCCCTTTAACCCCACAACCAAAAAAAAATTATATTTGTTTGTTATTACTTCCACAACTCAGTTGTACATGTACCTAATTTAGTTATCAGCAAATATAAATTCTAGAATTGCTGAAAAACATAAAATAATGGGTAGGGGGAAACATGGGAGCATGGGTGATTTTTTCCCCCTTACTTTTCTACTTAATTTCTATATTTTGCATTATTCTCATGAAGGAAAAAAAGTTAAAAATACTCTGAACTTATAAAAATTCTATCTTCTTTTCAAAAGACCTTGAGGTGGCCTATATGAAAAAAAATTGTACAATAAAATTTAGAAAGCTAGAAATTAATAACCCAAAACCCTAAAAATATGAAGGAAGTAAATATTCTAACCATGAGATTTAATATAGTGTGGTAGCCTCTAATTTAGATCTGAGATTCCTGACAGCCAAGATAATGGAAGTCATGGATTAGAAAATTCTTAGTATCTGATCAAAAGAAAGCATACCAGCACTTTGTGAAAGAATATCCCCACCTCGCCCAACCCTGGTATTAATTCCTAAAAGGAATTTGGCACAATATAGTCTTAAGTGTGTAAAATATGAAGCCGATTTAAAAATAATTTTATGTGGGTCTCTTACAAATATCATAACATTCAACAGTTCAATCACATCAAGCAGTATTGGAAAATTGCTACCACAATCAGTTTCAAAACTTATTCTTTCTTCTTGAACTCCTTACTGTCAGCTCTCCTTTATTCCCTCCCTCCCCCACCCTACCTCCCAGGGGCCTTCCCATCCCCCTCTTTTGCTGTATCTTACACCATCCAATATATCCATTCACATACAATTCTGTTGTTCGCTCCCAGGGGGGTTATCCAGTCACCAATACTATCAGTTCCCCCTTCTCCCTTTCCCTCCACACTCTTCCCGTACCCCCAGGGAACCATTATTCCTGTTTCTGAAGGGTTATCTACCTTGGCTTTAATGTATGGAATGATCTTGATTATACAAATGAACATACACAGGTCTAACATGATTAATGAGGTAAAACAAATAAAAACCAAAATAATAAGGGGAGGGAATATTAAAGAACTAGAGGATAGTTATGTGTTTCATCAGTGCTATCCCGCACCCTGGATTTATCCTTCTTTCTGTGTGGCCTTCTGAGAGGGACTGTCCAATTATCTTACAGGTGGGTTTTGTGTCTCCACTACATCCATGCCCCATCACGTCAATTTGGTTGCTTGTTTTTGAACTCTGATACCTTTTCCCACGGACACCTCATGATCACACGGGCTGGTGCTTCTTCCCTGTGGGCTTGGCTGCTCCCCTGCTACAGGGCTGCTTGTTTCACAACAAGCCTCGAAGGCTCCAGATACTACATATTTTTTTTCAAAATCAGCAGAATAAAAAGGGTATTCTTTTATTAATCTAATAAAGGACCCGTTTTCTAGTTCCAGAGGAGCTGACGTATTGCCTGATGACTTCGTGTACACCACAGCAGAATGCTAGCCAGTCTTTGCTCGTCTTTATGATGGTTGGTATGTGGCAGTCCACTGCTGTGGCGATTTTGCCTACCTACTTCATTGAGGATGGAATTCGGTTCTTCACCCCGGAGGCAAAGGTCTTTCAACAGAACCACCGATTCAGCAACAAGACATTGGCCAAGGTGCTTCACAAGGGACCTTCTCTAAACCAAGCCCCAGCAGACAAATAAAGGGGGAGTCAAGAGTTTCTGTCTCTCAACAGCCAAGCAGGTTTCTGGAGGCCAGGGTGGGAGAAGCTGCCAAGAGCATAGTACTTTTTCAGCCAAAACCAAGTCAGTAAGAGCATGTTCCTGGTATTTTCATAAGGGGGAGAACAATCCTTTTCCTGCTCTCTGACAGCGCTGCAAGGGTATGGTCCATGAGGTGTCAGGCTCTTCACCACCTGAGAAAACTACGATGCATGTAGAAGCACAGATAAGATCACACCGACTGCTGCGTTTGGTGAGATCCTTGGTATTTCTCTGGTTTCTGCAGCGCTCACTTTGAGTCCTTGTTCTTTCCTTGGCCAGTAGCTGAGATTGGTGACACAATGCACAAGAGAAGGCAATGTTGCCTGAACCTGCACCATCCTCATGATCAGTGGTGGATCGGGTTGTGGTGGTCCTAAGGTTTTCACGGGCTGATTTTCATAAGTGGACTGTGAAGCCTTTCTTTCGACTCAGTATCAGTCTGGAGGCGCCACTGAAATCGATTCAGCATCCCAGGAAACAAACAGGACTCCAGCCAGCTCACGCTCCCTGCCCTAGAGCTGACGCTGACTCATCTTGACCTGACAGGATAGAGTAGAACCCTGTGGTTTGAGGGACTTTAAATCTTTTATGGGAATAGACAGGCTCGTCTTTCTCCTGCAGAACAGCTGTTGGTTTTGAATCGCTGACCTTACAGTTAGCAGCGTAACTCATAAACCAGCACACCACCAAGGCTCCTGGTATAAGACCAA